GGGCCCCCTTGACCCCCCTCTAAATCTGCCACTGGGTTAGGAGTCATTCAGTTTAATTTCATCAGGGCAGACTACGTCTTCTGTTTACCTTTCTGTTAATACAGATTGGGTCTCAATGAAATCGGTTAGAAGCTTGAGAAACTGCTCAGAATTCAAACTTGCTATTAACACAGAAATGTTTTCAGTATCGTCAGTCATTTAATTGGATTCAATAGAATATCAGAAGATTAAAGCTTAAATTCAAGAAATTTTGTTAATTAAAATGAAACGATACCAATGGGTATCCAGCTAATGGAAAAATCGCTGAAATGAATGAGGTGAGATGTCATGGTGTACTTGAAGTATACACAATAAATATAGACATTTAATATGGAATATTTTAGTTCAAAAGTGTTGATAATAAATTTATTTTTTAGAAAAGTTGATCACATACGACAATTGTGATCAGGTATATGTGTATCCAGGTGTGTTGGTTATTGTTCATTAGGCTGCTTTCTCTGAAGTGCAGTTCTATTACGTAATATGTGGCAGTTTCCCTGAGCAGTCCTCTTTGGCTGGTTACAGAATGGGTATTAAAGGGCAGCAGTTCTGCAGAATAAGTCTCCATATTTCAGCAACGTCGAGTCAGAAGAGTTGATATTTTGCAGACTCTTAGCCGACCTTATGGTATGTGAACAAACGGCAGCTACTTGCCACACTATTGTTGCATAATGCCAGAATAGACAGAAGCAAACTGCTATTGCCAGACAGCAGTTTCTAACATCTTAAAGAAACATGCCCAGACTGGTACATTAACCTAGAGACCACGGCCAGGACGTCATGAAGTCACCACCAGAAGGAAAGACCGCTTGCTTCTGCAGTTATGTCGCAACTACTGAACAAAGACAACTCTTGCTCTACAAAATGAGTGGCAAATTACCATTTAAAAGCACGTTTCTAGAACTCTAGTGAATGCAAGGCTACTTTTAGCTGGTTACCTCTATGAACAGAGCAACATGGTGGGCTAGACGTTCCAGCCACAGCACTGGGTTCATGTAGATTTTTACAGATGAGGCAGGGTTTGAGTTCCACCACCGCGATGGCTGAATCAGAGTCAGTAGTCTTCCAGACGAGTTACTGCACGAGGATTATGTCACCCTACAGTGACTTGTGGCCAAGGCAGTATCTGTGTATGGGTCGGTTTCCACACTGGAGCCAAAACACTATTGGTGGCAATTGATGGAAACCTCAACCAGATAAAATACAGGGACATTTTAGAGAATACCTGCTTGCAATTTGCAAGAAGGTACTTCCAGGACAACTTCATCCTGCAAGATGACAATGTCCGACCACACCGTGCCCATGCAATAACTGCTTTTCTGCAAAACCAAGAGGTAAACCAGTTGTCTTGGCTGATGAAATTCCCCTGACATGAATTCTATAGAAAACCTGTGGGCATAAATCGCTAGCAGAATCAAGAACGTACCCGTCCAGCCTTCAAATCGGCACAAGCTTAGGCAAGCTCTGACTAATGCGTGTAACACAATACTTGATCACACTCTCAGAAACCTCTCTGCATGGATCCCTTGCCGAGTGAGGGCTCTGGTTGCAGCTAGAAGAGGCTGCAGGCGTTGTTATCAGTTTCCATTTTTCACACTTGTCTTGAAGATTCTTTTGTGTAAGAGAAAATCCTTACCAACTGATATTCTTGATAATATCGAGTTCATAAGAATTTAATACCTCGTTGTTATCAGCTATAAAATTATCCATGTGCTGTTTATAACGCTGATTTGAATACGCATTTAAATTAAATTTTTGATGATGTTTTCACATGGGTTGATTTATTAAAGCCATATCGAACATGATAACAAGTGTTTTTTCATCCATTACTAATATATGGGAAAAAATCAAAGAAAATATGTTTGACAAAAATCCATTTTAAATATCAAGTCTGTACATTGCATCACACGAATTACTTGATTCAGCAAATCCTTCCATTGCATTAATAAGGTAATCTTTTTTAAATCTAGGTAAAAGGGGCAGTTGTGTGATCCAATATGTTTACATCCCAATGGCAGCGCAGTATTTAATTGCAAAACTCAATTCAGATTCGAATAATTGCTACAGTGTGACAGTGTAGCACTTATTGCTGATTTGGTTATAGTGAAAATGTATTAACCACTTTCTCTAATACTGAAAACATGGGTGTGGGCACTTCATGTGTCATGTTTGCTTGACTAGTTAACGTAAGAGCAGTTCTGAAGGCAGGTTCTAACTATCAGCAGACTGACATGTGTTTGACAGATACAGGGAAGAAACAATAAAAGGTGCTACTCGGACACGATTCACAGAGTCAGTGCTACCCATCAGACAAAACATCTGATTTATCACATTCCCTTACCCTGAGAACATAGGTGTAGACACTTCATTTGTCATGTTTGCTTGCCTAGTTATAGAGATACAGAAGTAAAACGGTTTTTCAGTAATGGCGATCCTAATTTGCATATTTAGGAAAATTGCAAAAATCTAATTCTAACAGAAACATCTTAATAAGGTTCCTCGACCCTGAAAATATAGGTAAAGACACTTCATTTGTCATATTCGCCTGTCTAGTTCTAGAGATATTGCAGAAAATTGGAAATCTGGCGGCCATTTTGGTTTTTTGCAAATTAGACCGTTAAAAACGCAAAATTTCGCTTGGGAACCGGGTAAATCAGATTCACCATCCCAAAATTATGCTAATAAGCCTGGTTCCCAACTTTTACCCAAAAATGCCCCTTGCTTCTTATGCAGAGCCTTTTTTCAAAAATCTCACTAGACTAAAGTTCACTGTATTAGAAGACACTATGTATAATTCCAAGGGCATATAAAAACAAGACAAAAAAAAGAAAAACAATCACTCATGTTCTTAAGGAAATGAAATAAGATCTAAAACCACAAAAAGCTGAAAGCCAAATGAATGCACAATATGCCAAGCTATGTCTGTCGAGTTCTTGGGGGGGGGGGGGGCACTTACCTTTTTGGAAGCATATATACAATACAGGACTCTGGGATCAATTCCCTCCTCTTCATTGCCTTTCCTAGTGCTTCCTTCAGTGGGATTCCTGGCTTCACTTGGAACTGTGGAGGACAACAAAAACAAAGATTACAGAATGATATATAATGAAGGACATGGGAATAGCCTGTATCTGTTGACTGCACATTCAATATATTGCACAACATGGTTGATCTCGAGCTTAAAAGTTAGGTCTACTGATTCACAGTAAGGAAGGGATCATACTGACTTAAAACAACCAACACTAAAACATTTTTATTTATTGTTTACAGTATGCTAAAAGTTTGTCATCAGCAACTTTTTTTTTTGTTAAATGTCAAAGAAATGTGCTAGGGTTATTCCCCACCCCACCCACCCTGAAGCTCACCGTGGTCTTTTGTTGGTTTGGTAACTGCACCCTGACAAGAGACTTGAGGTTAGCCTTGTCTGTCGTCTGTCCCGCCTCAGGGGCGGTGGCCTGGGCCTGTGAGTGCTCTGGGGATGTCAGGCTGGTAGTGTAGGGTCTGGGGGGAGTGGGCAGCTCAGAGGGCGTCGGCTCCTGCAGGCTTTTGTGGGGGAGTTGATCTTTGAGGGCATCTTCCTTCTCCTGCAGCTCGTGGATCTTTGTGGTTAACTCATTGTATTCCTAAGAAGCAACAGGGTGTGAAACAATCAAGGGTCATTCTTGTAAAAATGAAAATATCTTTAAAAATTTGAGCTAAATGACACATTTCTGATAAGTCTGCATACCCTCCCTTGGCTGAATAGGCACAAAAATGTTTGGTAATTTGGTAACTCTTACATATAGGTATAGAGAGGGAGGGTATTTAAATCTAGTTACAGAGAGGGTGGGTGTGGATACTTACATCTAGGTACAGAAAGGGTGGGTGTGGATACTTACATCTAGGTATAGAGAGGGTGGGTGTGGATACTTACATCTAGGTACAGAGAGGGTGGGTGTGGATACTTACATCTAGGTACAGAGAGGGTGGGTGT